ACTGTGAATCAGAAGTGCTGGACTGTGTTAGGCTCATCTTAGTGCCATAAACCGGGCTCAGCTCGGTGGTTAGAGGGCTTGTCTAGTACGGGCAAGGCGCCCAGTTAAACCCTCAAACTGAAGACATAAATCTTAATCACACATAGCAACAGAGTTATTTCTTCCCTGCCTTAGTAGTTCAGGCTGCTGTAAGGAATCACCATGAGTGGACCAGCTTGCAAGCAACAGAAATGTACTGCTCATATAGCTGGAGGTTGAAAGTCTAAGATCAAGGTCCCAGAAAATGTGATACCTAGTAAGAGCCCAGGCCCTAGACAGCTGTCTTTTGTTGTGAAATCATGTGCTGACTCTCTGTTCTTTTTTAAATAATGTACCAATCCCATAGATACATACGGGGCAAGGTCCATCTGGGGGCTTTGCTGGAATCAGGGCCCTGCACCAACCCCATTCACCTCCAAAGGCCTTGACCCCTTCACATCATCACAGTGGAGACCAGGCTTTGACACATGAATTTGAGGATGGGGATTACCGACATTCAGATGACAGCATTCAGAACTATGTGACATTTCTGTGTCAGCAAGCACTCTACTGTGCCTCCTCCCTCCAGGTCCCGAAGAAGGAGCCTTCACTTTCAGATGCATTGCTAGCCTTTGTGTCAGGATTAAGGAGGAGCAGTGGACTGAGGATGCCTTTGTATGTGGGAGCGACACAGGTCATCCCCATGCACAAGTCAAGCCTGTGTGCCTAATGACTGGGGGCAGAAAGCAGTAGACTCCAAATGGTAGGAATGACTCTTGATGTTTCCCACAGCATGGTGCAGGGCACCAGCAGGACCCCTGGGGAGGGAGGGGACACAGTGTGGTGAAAAGTCAGGATAAACGTGAGAGTGGTATTTTCAAGGAAATCAAGCCCCGAGTAACTCAGTGGCAGGAGCAGACAGTGGGGAGGATGAGAAAAGCTGGGCCCCTGAATGGTGCCCCCAGTGTTACATCAAGGAGGTGGCAGCGACTTTTGCAGGTCACAGGAAATGTAAAAGTTTTGATGAGGCAGGACATAGGATTTAAGTTGCTCAGGGTCACAGCAGCACAGCATACAGTGGCCTGCGGGGGTACAACGCACAGTGGGGCAGTTGTAAGAAGTCCAGCAAGGGCCACTCTAGCCTCCCAAAACAGTACCATCACCAAGGCTCCCCTGACAGGTCACAGAGGAGGTCTCCCTGCAAAGGTACTGCAAGGATTTGCTAAGTTTGTGTTAGCCACGGCTGGGTTGAATGCCCTGTCCAATGTATGTCTACTTAGAACTTCAAAGTGTTACTGAGACTTGAGAATTATTTTTCTTTGCAAACGTAATAAGTGAGTCAAGATAGGGTCACAGAGGATTAGGGAGAGCCCTTACCGTATAGAACAGACAGCGTTTCAACTGGATTCTTCTTACCAGAAGATAAGGACACAGGATAGCACAGGCAGAGCCTGAAGCCCTGCATCTGCAAGCCGAGTGACACCAAGAACTGCCAAGTGGTGCCAGAGACCGGAGGAGGCAGGGTCAGGGTCTTTCTGGAGCCTTTCCTGGGATCAGGGCCCTATGGACTCCTTGATACTGGGCTTCTGGACTCCAGAGCTATGAGAGAATCAAGTCTATGGTTTTTGAGACAGCCAGCATGTAGGACTTTGTCACCGCTGTCCCAGCACATGAATGCAAATCAGGAGTAAGGAGAAACTGATTTCTTTTGGATTAAACATGGCCACCTCTTGGTTCCTGCTCAAAGGATTTTTGCATACTTTGTCTGAGTGTCAGCTCTTGCCTCACTTAAAACTGATCTCCCTCTAGTTTTTCCGTTGCTGGGATCATGTGCATTGGTTGGAATCTTCAGGTGAGAGCTACGGGGAGAGGCCTGAAAGTGGAGCTGGTCATAAAGCAAGCTGAAGGGTTTGTATCCCTACCCACAGGACTGCGTAGGGGACAATTGACAGAGAGAAACGTGCACTGGCTTGTAGCTCAGCCAACACTCCCTGAAGATGATGCACATAATGCTGTACAAGATACCAGAGGGATGGGGTTAAACGCTGCTACTGCCAATGGCCAAGTGGTGGCAGGGGATGGTGATGTGGCATGGACAGTATGGTGGTGAAAGCGGTGCTTTTCTCCTAATGATCCTGTAAGTAGCACTATTATTATGTATGCCTTGTAGATAAGAAGGTCAGGCAAGAAATTAAATAGCTCACGCAGGAACACGGAGACTGCAGGTGGCAGAAGCAAATCACAAGTGGATCTCAGGGAGCTGACAGCGATGCTGTCAGGGGCCAGGCTGGTGGGAGAGTGGGGGCTGAAGGCTGTTGTTTTCCTGACAAGTCTAAGAGGAACTGGCTAAATCTCCTGCAAAGGAAAGGACAGGGGATGAGGAAGTGGGTCTGAGTGTGCAGACACCTGCTCTGAGAAGTTTGGAGGAGAAAGGGTGGGAAGAGAGGGCCATGGTCACTGGAGGGGAGCTAGGCTTCACATAAGGTGATCTAGGATGAGTCGCTCATTGCAGTAAGCACTTTCGAGCCAACTGAAAGGATCTCAAGGAGACAGAGAGATGGATGGTACAGGACAGAGGGGACCCTGAACAGCTGGGTTTGGGAGTTGGACTTTTCAGGAATGGTTCTTCATTTTATCAGGAAGGAAAAGTATGTAAGACTGCGTTAGTTGGGTCACAAATTATAGTCAGAGCTCCTGATGATTTCTTGCACTGATAGCCTTCATGTATAAAGGAGTGTGGTAACTTGCCCAAGGCCCTATATCTCATAAGTGGTGACACTTGGTTTGGGGGCCATAGACCCATGGAACCAAAGTCCACCCCGAGTCTCTCTCAACCCCCTATTACCCACAGATTCCAAAAAAGAGCTACAGAGAGAGGAGTGATAATAGATTATTCCCATGGGTAATTTAAAATCTAAAATGTTACCAAATAGAAATTTCTAGTGGACATTAGTCCAGAAAAGTCTAATCTGTGTTCTGTTGATAGCTTTGCAGCGTATGTGCATTACTGAGCAAATCTAATTCTGCTGACCAGCGAGAAAGAAATAATTTCAACAGCTCATTGTGGCTGCACCCACTTTTAGCTCCAAGAGCTTCTGCTGCCTCAGCTGGAGGGGGCCAGGGACCCGAATGCACAGGCAGTGCTCCGTTCCTGGAGCCGGGGACTCCTTCATGTAGTGAGCAGCCTTCGTCTAGTCCCAGGAGGCATTGCATCCAGTGTGGGTACAAAGTTGGCCTTTTTCCTGTGGCCTCCTTAGGCAGACAAGAGGACTTCTTCATTCAGGGCTCAGTGAAAGCGAAAACAGCAGAGGGACCAGAACTCATGTTTCAAGGTTGAAGGTCATCTAGAAAGTTGACATAAGTAAACCCAGCCTCTCACAGGTGACATCACCAGTTGCAGTGCTGGTCTGTGTACCCTGCTCCTAGGAAGACTTCCCTAGAGGAATAGGAGCTGGCTTCCCCTGGCACTGTGCTTTCTCCAGCCCACATGCTAGGAGCTCTATTTGTAACTGCAGGGAACCATCCTCCTCTATACTTTTGAGCTGAATGTTCTGTATGTTTGACAGTAGCAAACTGTAGGTGCTCAGTATTTGCTGAAAGTCAAAATGAGAGATTATAGAAAAATGAATGCTTATAAGTGGGGTAACAGACTATTAGACCTGGGAAGTCTTTAGATAAATGGGTGGCTCTGAAGGATGCCAATTATTTACTCCCATTTCTCCATGGTGGAGAATGCTGCCCATACATGGTAGATATTGGAGACAACTGTGGAATCAATCAGCTAAAAACCTTGTTGCATGAATGGTGAGACTGAATCATAGAGCTCTACTCTGCTGTGCTCCTGGAAGAAAGGACTTGGCATTTTCAGTCCTTTTCCAGTTGCTGAGCAGAGACTCAGCTCAGCTCAGCTCACAGCAGTTGGTCAATGAATACCCTCGGCATAACAGAAAGGTCAGGGCCTTATGGAAGTAAACAAGATGCAGAGAAAAATGCTGAATCCTTCCCTTGAGGACACCCTGAACTGGTGTGGGAAAAGTCAATAGGACAGGGAGAGCATGTGAGATAGCCCTGGTTTGAGTGGTGAATTGAAGATGAGGGGGTAGCTTTGGGCGACCAGGGGGAGTGTTTCTCTAGTATAGTGGTTCTCTGCATGTCTGCACAATACAGCCAGCCTGGGACATGGGTCCCAGACCCAAATGCCCAGTCTGCACTGTCTGGGAACTGATGGACCTGCTCTAGCATGGGGCCTCCATCTTTTTTAAGCTTCCAGAATATTCACGGCTGCCTTATCTGGTCCTATGAGAACATGGAGGCAGAAGGCAGTTTCACGAAAAACAGCACCAAGGTTGGAAAGGGAGCTCTGTCCAAGTTCTGGAAACCAGAGGAAGCAGGCTGGTGACAACGAAGGGCCACCTTTTTAGTCAGTTCATGCACTCAGAACCAGGAAAACACACAGAACGGCAGCGCAGGTCATGAGCCAGAGAACAGAGTTCCAGAGGAGCACGGACTCCTGCAAAGACATGAGGCCTGTACAAGTTCCTGGAATGAGACTCTAAGGCAGAAGGCAATTGAGCCCGGCTGGGGAGCCCAGACGCTGAGCTGAGGAGTGGGGATGTGTGGGCCTGTGCTAGAGGCTAAGCAGGAGATGCTCCCAAGCAGAGATGAGGGCCACAGGGCACACGGAGACACAAGGACCTGCATGAGCTCTACCAAGAGCGCTCAAATTCACACGCGCAAACATACACACGCTTCTGCGCCCGCTGCGCCCCTGGCGGCCTCGGCCTCCTAGATATTGGCGGGGACAGCAGGGCTGAACCCCAAACCAACTAAGAGGCCCCTCCCCGCCGCGCCCCTACACAGACTTGCGCAACAGGCGGCGGCTCAGGCGGGTGCGGCGCGCCGGGCGGGGGAGCGGGAAGGGGTGTGTCCCTGCTGCGCGGCGGGCGCGGAGGGCCGGGGAGGGGCGAGGCTGGAGGCGGGGCCGCGGCGCTTATAAAGTGGCCCTCCGCGGGGTCATAAACAAAAGTCGCTCGGCTGCCAGCTGGAGCTGCGGAGCGCACGCCCATCCTCTGGGCTCTTCTTGGCTCCCGCAGGCGCTGCCGGCCTCTCTAGCCACCGACTCCTTTTGCATTCTCCCAGTGCTGTAGGTAAGCTCGTCCGACGCGCGACGCGGAGCAGCGGAAAGGGGTCGCCTGTGGGGTGCTGCCCTAGCGCCTGACTCACCCTTTGTGGCCCGGTGGGCTCTAGAAGTGACAGCCCCTCAACCGCCAGTGCGGGAGCCAGACGCTCAGTGGAGGGAGGGAACTTTGGGAAGCCAGCACCGCTGGATGGAGCCTGGGGTTCGAGTGGAGAAAAAGAAAGCGGAAAACAGGTCTCTGTTCATTTTCCTACCGGCTGGAAAGCCGGGCAGGGAGCAGGGGGCGGGACGATGAGCCTGCCCAGGAACACCTGAGGGCGCTTCCAGGCGCGCTCCTCCAGGAGTCACAGGTGGCGCCGCTGACCTGTGGGTGAGGAGGGCTGAGGGGTGTGCGTACGTGTGTGTGTGGGTGTGTGGATGTGTGGATGTGTGAAGCTCCTGGGGAGAGGGCCATCGCACTGCCGGTGTAGATGGGGGTGGGTAGGAGACGGCGACGTTGGTGATGAAGTGGGCGTGGGTGTGCTTGCCTTCTAGACTGGGCTAGGGCATGTGCTTGTCCAGCCTAGGAGTGGGGCGGTGTGTGCGTGCGTGTGTGTGTGTGCGTGTGAGTATGTGTACGTGTGCGCGCGCGCGTGCTAGGGGAGGACCCGGGGTGTGTCGCGCGGCATGCGCGGGAGGTCTTATGGCTACCGTATGGGTAGAGTGCGTCCCGAGGTGGCCTAGAGCTGGCGCTGTACAGCGACGTGCGAGAAGTGGCTTGGGGAAGAAGCATCTGGCAGGCCTTGCACTAGCTGGAGCGAGAGGTGGCGTCATTTTTGCCTCTGCCCGTCCACCCTCCTTTGCTTTGCTCTCAGCCTCTCATCTCCTAGACCAGCCTCTGGCTATTGGAGCAGCAGGCAAACAGCTGGAAAGGCTAGGACTTCCCAGGGGACCCACCGAGGTCTCTGATTCAGCCTGCCGGAGAGTCGAGATTCCGGCAGGGTGTACAGAATGCAGTGGCCAGGGGAAGCTCACTGTCACCGCCTCTGTCAGATTAATAGCTGAAGCTGGGGTTTAGCAATGGCTCCCTTACCCCAGCCACCTCCCCTATTCCCCCATCTGTCACAGGCTGGCTGTCAGCCTGGCTGTGGGTCCCAAGCTCCACCTCTCTGCCTTGAGCTGGGAGGTGCCTATCAGAGGCAGTGTAGGGAAGGGGGCCTTTCCTCCCAGGTGTCCCTGTTTTGGTTCCTTTTTGCAGAGGTGATCCAGTGGCCCGGCCCCTGGGAAGCGCTTAGACAACCTTGAGATGCCTGTCAGCCTTGCTTCTCCTCACTGACCCAGTGAACCTGACACCTATGTACCCAACCCCATCCTTGCTGTGAAGGCAAGGTTTCAAAGCAAAAATTTACCAGTCTCCTCCTGCAAGAGTACCCTGGAGGCGAGAATTTACAGATGTATATTGAAAGAAGTCCCCAGCAGGAGACCTCACACTGGCATGCATTCAAGGGTTGGCCACTTGTTGGGGCAGCAGCAGGAAACACACAGTCCCCTGACTATGAGGTGGCTCAGCTAAGTCCTGGTGGGGATGACACCCCGTGTGGGGATCAGGGAGAGTGGAGAGCCTCCTAAGGGGTGTGCGTTGGGATTAGCAGCCCCACTAGCAGCCCCACCCTGCCCTATACCTTCATAGTTTGTGGGGCCCGTCTCTGACAGAGGGGTAGACTAAATGGGTGAGGAGAAGAACTTTGCCTGCCTCACCCAGGAGTCTAGCTTCTGCCCCAGGACCTCTCCTGGAGGAGACACTTAAACATGTTCAGGGTGGCTTGAGCTTGAGCAACTCCTTGACTTCTGCCCCATCCCCTTCGGACCTGGTAGGCAAAGTCCCAAGGAGGTTTAGTTGGTAGAGGGTGCACGTGCTGGGTTTGGCTTCTGGATCCTGTGTTAGGATCTCCTTCCCTGACGGAGTTCCCTCAGAGTGACAGATAGCACTGAGATTGCTAACTGAGATTGGGGCCGCGTCGGCCCCATTGAGCGGATGAAGAAACTGAGCCAGGAGAGTTCCGGGGACTTGCCTAGAATCATGTAGCTAAAAGCAGAGCAGACAGTCAGACTCCAGTCCCGAAGAGTCAGACTTCAAAGCCTTTGTGCTTTTGCATGGTAGCAGTTTGAAGCGCACTGAGAAAGCAGGCCAGGCAGGAATCAAAATTGCGGAGACTCGACCAGGAACTCTAGGCCTCAGTTTCCTGTTGTGCAAAATGAGAATAACAGACATAGTTTCGTCAGGGTATGTGGGCATCAACGGAGCTAATCCATGTAAACTGAAAATAGTACCCAGCATGTGGGGAGCACCTGAAAGTGTTGGCACAAAATGCATTTTCCAACCACCTCCTTGGCAGTCAGTGTCTGGAACTCTGTCTGAAATCACCCCGGACTGTGAAAGCACCTGCAGATGCTGGGCCTACAGCTGTGAGCAGGAGAGGCCGAGAGTGCTGTACCTGTACCCTTCAGGGCTGGTAATTAATGAATGTTTACTGAGTAGCTTTCGTCTGTCTAGCATGCCTTGTGATTCAGTGTATCAGCTCAGCTAGTTGAAACAAGCTGCTCTTCTTATTCTCAGATTAGAAGACAGAGGCCCAGGCAGGAGACTTGCCTGTTTAGAGTTGAGATAGTAGGTTCAGTAAAGTGAGGCACTCACAGGTCCAGCAGGGCCCTATAAGGCTGTGCAGAGCCTTGGGGAGTGAGCTTGGGCTTCCTTCCTGGTGGTACCCACCTTCCTAGTTTGTGCTTTCTCTCCATCTCCATCCCCATCCAGGCTGAGCTGGGCTGGCTTGCAGTCTTCGCTATGGAACTTGGTGTCCTACCATGTGCAGGCGAAGCTTGGTGGAGGTGGCTCTGTAAAGGCTGGGGGCGGGGGGGACACTGGGTCCCCACAGGAAGGGGGCTGCACAAATGCAAGGGCACTGGTGGGCATTGGTGCAGTACTGAGTTCTCCATGGTTGATGCCAGTGGGAGGAGAAACCAGTCCCTGAGAAGAGGGTTGAGAAGTCTGCCTTGGCTCTGTGGAACAGGAACTGATTACAAAATGGGGTCCCCAAACAGCCTCTTTTGACCCAGAGTCTCTGCCTTTCCCATCTAACATTTATGGAAGACCTGCCTATCTGGGTGTCACCTCCAGGCCTTTTCGGTCTAGTGAAGTGTTCCTCCCTCTGAGAGGTAGGAAGTGAGGCTTGTTAGTGGTTGAGGGCACAGTCAGGGCCAAACTCATTTTCTGTCTTAGTGTATGTTTTAAACCCACAGAGCTGTGCTTTGTAGGAGGTGGTGTGGGTTTGTGGGACCTTGCCCTCATCCCTGTCTCCAGCATCCCTATCTTAGGGAGGGTGAGTGAGTCCCTCAGAGGTAGTTAATCACACACATCTCTCAGTTGGGAACCCCTGCCCTTCCAACTTTGTCCAGAAGCTTCTCTGGCTTCCCTTTCTGCTGGGCAGCTGGGTTGGATTCCCTCTGTGGTCCCATGTGTCCTGTCACACTGGACTGTCACTGTCTGCTTTTCCACGCCCTCTTGAGATCCAAGAACCTGGCCCTTGGCAGGCACGACATTCATGTGGCTCAATAGGAGATCTACCCTTAGGAGGGAGGCAACTTGGGCCACCTTGAGTGAGGCAGACGGAGGCCATTCCAGAGGGTGGGAGTGGCAAGGCCATTTTGGGAAAGAATCTCATTATTGTGGCCAGAGTCCGATCTCCAGGACAAAGAGCTCTGTATGAGGAATCCATTTCCGTGTCCTAGGCTAACACTGGCTCTGTTTGTGTGATTTCAACAAATTATCTCAGACCATTCAGGGCAGCTCCTCTGCGTATTCTGCAGATTTATAGAACAATTTCCAGTGTGATCGGTGTCCTCTTCTGGACTTTCAGTTACTGTTTGGCCCTTTGGACAGTCATCTTGCCATTCCAATGAGTCTGCCAAAACTCTACTGCCAAGATGCCACTGAGAACCTCCAGGAAAGTCCTGTGTGTTGCGGAGAAGAGGTTGGGTCATGGCTGGATCCCCACGCCTGCCTCTTCCTACTATTGTGTTCCAGCCACTCCCCAGTCCTCACACTTCTGTGCTAGGTTGAACACACAAAAGTTCCCTGTCAGCTGCTGCTGAGGGGACCCAGGAGGGCAGGCGGCTTTGATCATACGTGATGGAACCCAGGCTCGCCTCAGCTTAGGGACCCCTTTGCTGCTTTCTCTCTCTGTATTGAACAATTCAGTGATGCCCACTCAGTATCCAGGGTTGTGCAGAGCTCTGGAACACTTGAGAAGTTTCTGGTCCAGAAGGAAGATTAGGATATGTATTCCAACGTTTTTTTCTGATTTTTTTTTTGCACTATTTTCCCCCTAATTTTCATCATGCCGAGACTTTGAAAACACCTCTTCATGGCTCCCTACCCCTAAACTGGGCAACTTCCTTAAAAGTCCCATCAGTTTTCTGGTATGATTTGATATAAAACCCACTAAGAATCAAGCCACCCACCCTCTCACCCTCCTGTGCCTTGACCCTCAGAAGGTCTGGAAAACACCAAGAGTACAGCAAACTGCTTTGCAACTGGACCTCAGAGGCCCTTTGGCAGAGAACTGATGAAGAATCCCTTCCCCACAGCAAGGCAGGGCCCAGGGCGTATCCCAGGGCACTTTTCCTTGGGGTGAGCGTGGAAACTGGACATGCTCTGGCCTTGCTGGTGACTGATCTGCTGGGACAGTTGCTATGCGGAGCAGCAGCGGTGCACATTGACTTTCCCCCTCTACAGATCTGTTCTGTAAAGAACCCAGTGTGCTGGAAACAACGCTGGCTTTCATGTGCCTTTGGAACCAGGCGGTTATGGACGACAGGGCAGAATCTCGGCCAGTGCTGACAGTAATGGTCAGTGCGGAACTGGCTCGAGGTCCGCTCCTTCCTGCTCTCCCTGTCTCTGTGTTTCACTGAGGACTCTGGGATGTTGTCACCTGCCAACCCTGAAGCCCCACACTGGCCACATCAAAGGAGTCGCTTGACACGCTTCCCTTGACAAAGAGGACTCTGGACATGTGACCCTTGGGAAGACCCAAAGGCCTGGGATTTGGGGGCTCTGGTTGCCTGTCTGTAAAGTAGGCGTGGCCACACCCACCCTTCCCCAGGGACTCTTCAGGGAAATAAATGAAACAGTTCAGTGAATGCTTGTGAATGCAGTGAATGCTTGTGGAATTTAGCCTTTGCCAAATCAGGAAAGAGACCTAAAAACAGAGACCCTGCTGGGGATGCTGAAGGGAAAATAGAAACTGTTAAGATAAGGGGTTCTGCCCAAACCTGGGACTGCTCATGGTGACTGTGCAGGATGGAGGGGGAAAGCTGTGACCGCCCTGCTGACTGACATACTCCCAAAACCTCCTGGTCATGGGTGGCCATCCCGAGGACACTGTACGTAGATGAAAGGAGGCGGGCAGGTGTGGGTGTGTACGGCACGGTCACCTCTTCCCTCTGTGGTTTCTGTAGCCTGCATCAGCTTGTTGCTTTCTGACTCAGAACGCACATCCCAATCTCTCTCGGCCTCTGCTTCCCATCTGCTAACTGATGAACAGCTGGCCCCTCCCTCCCGGCATTGTCCTGAGGGTAAGGGAAAGCGGAACCGAGAGTATGGTGGAGCTGGAGAAGCAGATCGCTGTTGTGGGTCTCCCCAGGGCGTCCTGCTGCTGGGGTTGCTCTTCCTGGGCTGCTGGGCTTGGAACTCATGGATGAGTCTGCTGTGTACTTGCAGTCTTGCACCCTGGGAGTTCCAGGGGTCCCAGTAGAGTTTTCTCAAGAGGGTGGGAAGATGAATCCCATGAGGTGGCTTAAAAACAGGAGTGACAGGGTTGAACGGAGACTCCCAGAGAAATCAGAGGCCCGGTGACGGAGAGGGTGCAGAGCCAAGCTCTCCGGCCTCCACACAGCCCCCTCTTGCTCTGAGCTTGTTAGGCACCACCTGCTGCCCATTGAGCAGAGGCTGTATGCACTTTACAGATGGAGATACTGAGGCCAGGTGTGCTGGGGAGGGAATGGCTTGCTTAGTGCCATGAGGCAGGAAGGTGTGTCAGGGTGCCTACACCCCAGACTCCTAAGCCTGTCCTTCTGCCACTTCCCTCAGGCCTTACACAGGCTGTGTGTCCCCTCAGTCCCAGAGACTGCTTCACAGTTCTCAGATGGCCTCCTGCTACCTGAGCTCTTCTGCTCACTGCCCAGGGTCACATTCTTTGCTTTGCCTGCCAGCTCTTGTTCTCAGGTTGGCCTGGGATCTGTGAGTTCTCTAATCACTGTCTGTCTCCTGGGTCTTGTGACCCGGAGTGGTATGTGCTCAGCCTTATTGAATGTCACTCATTGACCACCATTGGCAGTGAAGAAGACCCTCAGTGGCAGTTGGATCTGAAGGCCCATGTGGCATTTGCTGGATATCATTTTGTGAGTCACTCAGACTAACAGTGTGTAAAACACGGGCTGTCTTCATAGAGGTCTCAGGGTCTCCATGGCAACCAGGGGAGAATTGTACACTGGTGGATTAAATAGCTGTTTGCCAGATTCAGTTTGCAATTACTGTGAACACTGGCGCTGCTTGCTGTGAGTAGAAGTCACGTCGCCCATTTTGCAGATGAGTAAACAGAGGCAGAGGGGTTAGGGAACTTGTTCAGGATCACAAGGCTGGTAAGTAGTGATGTTCAAGTCTCCTTGCAAGCCTTCTTCCAGCTGTAGGCTACCTCTTCTGTCTTCCACGTGGGTTTGCTGAATTCCTTGAGCAGGCAGCAGGGAAAGGGAGAAGTGAACCAGCAGCTGGGAGCTGATGCTGTGCCCTCGAGGCCTGGTTTTGGACTGGGTTTTAGCAGGGGAAGACCTAGTCCAACCTCATTTCCTGTCTGAGTGGGCCTTCGCTACTTCACAGCAGAGCCTTGGGGACACAGGTCAAAGTCCCTGCCACCCTGGGGCTGCATGGGGTCCTGCAATGTCATCTTGCCTCTGGCTGGTTCTGGTCCTGATATTCTGTGACCAGGATTCCCTAGGAGGTATTGGAGGGGCAGAGCCTAGGGTCAGCACAGGGCTCATACCTAGAAGAGGTGTGGCCTGTTCTTCCTGCTGAGCCAAATTGGCTTCCAGTTGCCTGGGGGCATAGGGACCTAGGCATTACCCCTGGTGGAGGACCCGGTGTTAGGGATTCATTGCTCCCAGATCGGGGCAGAAGATCAGGCCCTGCTCAGTGGTGTCCTCTGTTGGATCTGAGTCTTTAAATGCACTGTCTACTCTCCAGGCAGAGACCAAGTCCCAAGGGGAACAGTGTGCTGAGAAGTGAACAGAGCCATGGCTTGGAACCACTGGACAGCTCCTCCCGCTGGCCACGTCCTCAGGACAGTCATTAGACTGTGGCATCCCAATACTCGGCGAGGAGATGCTGATGGAATGGAGGGATCTGTGAGACTGTGGGTGACAGTGAGACTGCACGTGTGTGTGTGTGTGTGTGTGTGTGTGTGTGTGTGTGTGTGGAGAGAGAGAGAGAGAGAGAGAGAGAGAGAGAGAGAGAGAGAGAAAATGAGTTGCAAGTGTGTGTGGACTAGATAAGCAAGGTGGTGACTGACGGACCATTTTCTGGACACTGGTTTCTTCCCAGGAACCACTGAGAACCTCACTTCCCAGCCAGGGTGGATTTTGTACTGGGGGATTTCGCTGTTGTCTGTAGGTATTTTTCACGCTACCTACTCGAGAGTGCTTGCGGGCCGAGGTGCCCTCCTGAACAGTGCAGGGTGCTGCGGGCAGCAAGTGTGAGCCAGCAGCAGGAAGGAAATTACAGTGAGGCTTCACCATGGGCATCAAGGGGACCAGAGTCCACGGCTGCTGTCCTGTCCTGAGGAGGGAGCTGGGGGAGATCAACATCACATTCAAGTGTGATGACACTGAACTGAGCAGAGTGGGCTGTACTATAGCACGTGCGGGTCGTTATACATGTGGAAGGCACTTTGCTCTTGTGGTTAGTGCTTCTACAAAAGAATTTAAACAAATGCATTGGTCCTCTGATCAGGGAGTGAGCCACACTGGACTCTGCCCCTAGGGTGTGCCAGCAACTGGAGGGAAAGAAGGGAACAGGGGAGTGAGCCATCTGCCCTGGGAGCTCACCAGTGGGGCTGAGGAAGTCCAGCCTGACCCACCATCGAGACCGAGGGAGACCACAGCTGCATGTGTGGAAGCCTCTATGAACCACAGAGCCCAGGCACACAGGGTGCTGCCCAGGCACTGACTTCTGGAAGGCTCTCTAGTCTGTGTGGGTGCAGTGTCCCACAGCCAGGGTCTCGGGACCATGAACATGCTGAATTAGCAGGACACATAGACCCTGGCTTTTCATGCCTCCTGCCTCCGAGCGGGCAGCAGCCCAGGAATGCTCACAGAAATAAACCCGACTTTGTTTTCAGAATGTTCAGGAGCATAGACTGCAAAGGCTGCATAAAGGCATTCTTGTGGGGTGGTTATCTATGGGGGGGCCCCAGGCCAGAGTATCCAGGGGTAAGAGGGATCCACCCACAGAATGCCGAGAACTACATGGGGTGTGGTGCTGGTCGGGGGAGAAGGGGGGTTTTGTGGACTTGGGGAGCTGAGTTTAAAGAATAACCTGGGGGTGCAGCTTCGGAGATTCTTACTTTCTGTTTGCCCTGGTATCTGAAGGGCCATGGGAAGCTGGAATCCAGGCTCCACTCTGAAAGCAGCAATGTGACGGCCTTGACCAGCTGTTTCTCAGGAAACGTGTCCGCTCTAGAGGCTGAAATCTGTGAACCCAGCAGAGGCCTGGGCTCCCCCTCTGTCCTTCACCCTTCTCCCCAGGTTCCTTCTGTGCTGCCTGTAAGGGTTACCCTTCTGCTGGGACCCTTGGGCCTCAGCCCTGCTAGTGGTGAGCGTTTAATTTTTTCTACTTGGCTACTGCTCCATGAAAGAGAATGTTTAGCCCTCCAGCTCTCCTATTAAACTTGGGGAAGGTGTGCTCCGTGGATGTCACAGCCCTAAGTCCAAATCTGCCCAGTCTCCTTGCAGCAGCGTTTCCTAGCCCCTCTGTACATTCTGAGTTGAAGCGCGGGAGGAGAAAGGGACCCTCCTGCTTGTTCCTGGCTGTACCCAGCTCTGCTTTGTCTTACCATTACTCCTAGCCAGCGCTCAGTGCCTGTCAGATTTTTGGCATATGATTTTTCTTCTTCCCTGTCCATTGTCCCTCTCAGCAGGCAGCCTAGAGTCCTGCAGAGAGAAAAGTGTGTGTGTGTGTGTACAGGATGAGGTGTACACCATGCCCACACATGCTGGGCACCCAGGCAGTGACCTTTTGTTCCCTTTCATTGCCAGTGTGTGGCTGCCTGATTTGGGGACCAGGAATGTGGACCTGCTTCTGAAATGTAGAGAGAGAAGCATTGTGGGAATGGTGGGTGGGCCCAGACTTATCTTGGACTTGTTTTTGCATTTTATCCATCTGCTTTGTTGGAAAGGAAGTTGTGTCTGTGAGACTAGTTTCCTGTTCCAGGAAATTTACTGGCAGCCTCAGGAGGAAGACCAGGAAGAAGCTGTGGGGTCAGGGTCCTGTCTGTGCTACAATGCATGTGCAGAAGAGCTGTGGGCCCAGGGAGACCTGATCTTGTTGCCCATCTTATTATGCCCTGGCCTAAAATTTACTTCCATCAGGAAACATCTCTCAGCAGAAAGTGCTGACCTCTTGACATTTTTCCCCTTGCAGGCAGGTGATAGCAGCAATATGTCACGGGAGCTTCAGGACGTGGACCTGGCTGAGGTGAAGCCCCTGGTGGAGAAAGGGGAGGTAAGTGGAAATGCTCCTGGTTCCTCCTATCACATGCACAGGTGTGCACACAGCATGCACACATGAACACACACACACACGTGTGTACATAGCATTGTGTACCTGCAAACATGCACACCACTCATAAGTATGTGTACAAAGCATACACAAATGATGCACATGCATATCTGTACTATTTCCTTGAGGCCACAGGAATAAGAGTTATGGGTTCAAAACCCCACATGGCTACTAAGTGATTTAGCACCGTGTGCTGAGCCCTTGACTACCCATGCCTCCTTGCTTTCCTTGGTAGTAAGGACATCAGGCTTCTCTAAGCATGTCTGATATCCTGTGGTTCTAGAACATGCGACATAGAGTCCAGTGTGCATAGGGTCTACCTACCCCATTGCTTAATGGGTAAAGCTACCTATTTGGGTCTACCTACCCCATTGCTTAATGAGTAAAGCTACCTACCTGCATGGGTCAAGTCCTGGCTAGAGTGCTTTATAGCTATATCATGGCATGTGCCCCTGCTCTTCATGCTTTAGTCCTCTGTAAAGCTGAGACACTAGGGGCTTTGCAGGGGCTCATAAAGAGGAAGGGCACTGATTCACACAGAGCACCTGGAACTGACAGCTGTAGAGGAGATGAGCAAACTCATTAGCCACTGCTGTGGCCCCTCAGCTCTTCTTAGTGGAATCTTTTCTGTGAGCAGCAGACCTACTGCTGGGGGCAGGACCTGGTGCTATAGCCAGGCTGGCTGATGGCACGATGTGTACCAAAAATGCCTGTCCCTGTGCACCAGTGCCACTGCACTTGGAGGAGACGCTCTCAGGAGTGCCAAAGCTGAGCCCAAGGGTGCCTTCATTGGAAAACACATGTTTTTCAGGCTGCCACTCTATGTTTTATTTCTGAATCAGACATTTAAGAGCTTGTCAACTAGGTTATATGTTAGTCCACCTCTCACTGTGGATTTACCTTTACTTTCAAGGTTTGGGGGGGAAAAGAGCTTTACAATTCTATAGTTATATTCAACAAAAGTTTGTATCGAAAAGTTCTTCCATGTGTCTGTCTTCAACCTGGACTGTCCTTCTGGGAGCCAGTAGTGATCAGGCAGGGCTTGGTTTGCAGGGTGTTTCCATTTCTTCTGGATCAGGAGAATGCCAATAACATTTCTTGAAATGGTTGGAGAAATGAAGGGAGGTTTCATTTCTCCTCTGAGCCATCCTTCCACAGCTCTACTGGAGACGAGGACTTTTCCCTGCCTTTCTTAACTTTTTCTGCCACTGAAAGGTCTGGTGAAAGGTTTGGGTTGAAATTCATAATGTTTAAATGAAAGGAGATGCTTAGAGATTTCTGTTCTCATCTTCTACTCTTGAAAGATTGGACTTGAATCCAAAATCCAGGTGATGCCAGTCATAAAAACAGTTGAAGATGGACAGTGATGTGGTCAGGTCTGGGTTTTGAAAGTGAAGGACATGGGTGGAGACTGAGGGACTGGTTAGTAGCCATTCACACTCCTGTATCACTCAGGCCTGTGGTCAGTTTAGACCTTCAGTCTTTTCTCACAAAGATTATCATCAAAAAGATATCCAGCTAGTGTGTCTGTTCTTTCTGCTGAGCTGCTTTCATTTAAGATGAAAAGGAAGGAATATTCGCAAGGAATAAGAAAACCCTCGCAACCAGAGAGGAAAGTAAATATAGACCAGGTGCCAAGAGCACCCTTGTTCCAGTAAGATTTCTCTAAGAAACCTGACCATCTGTCCTTGTTTCTTTCCACAGACCATCACTGGGCTCCTGCATGAGTTCGATGTCCAGGCAAGTAGAAGACATGGCCTCCATCCCTGCTCCATGTCTTTGCTTTCTTCTGTTGGTTTGAAGTAGATCACCATTCAAACACGGGTGCTAGGGAAGGGGAGGAAGTGGGCTCAGTCAGGTCCCATACTGAGCCTGAATCCTGGTAGGAAGTGGTATGAGAGAAGCAATAGGCAGCCACATCCCAGGACAGCAGGGCAGACAAATAGTCCCTGGCCTTGCAGAGTGCGCAGCCCGGTGCAGGGGCTGTGGGGTAAAGGTGGGACACCAGGCAGGTTGCAGACCTTGGGATAGGAAGACTCTGGCCAGGAAAGTGAGATGAGCCCTCCCTGGGGTTTGCTGTCCTGGGACTGATGTATGGCCATCCCACTTGGGGTTGGCAGGAAAGTCAAGAGGAAGCTCTCAGGACAGTGGTCCGGCGTCCTGGACTGGACTCAGTGGCCCCATGCCTGAGCAACCCCATGCTGTGCTGAGCCCAAGGCAGAGTGGGGAAGTGAGGTGCAGAGAAGCCAGATTTGGGGAGATCCTGCATACCTAGAAGGGGAGCAAAGTACATATGGTTGGCCACAGGCAGCTGATGTGCACTGGCCTGAACCTCTGCCTGTCCCCACACAGGTGTCCTGGCTTCAGACCATTCCTCTCTGGTCCTCTTCCTCGGCACTGCCCTCCCCAGATAACTCTACTCCCTCCCGAGGTTCCTGCCCCATTGCCCACTTCCCCAGCTATCCACAGCCAGGGTCAGGCACTGTTTTTGGAGCAAAAAGGAAAACACAAGATGGAAGCCTTGGATAACATGACGTCATAGAGGCCCTGTGTCCCTTCCATGGGGCATGTGGGGCTTTCTGTGTTGGTGTATCAGCGTGGTGTGAGCTCGAGAGCTCCATGGAGCCACTGGGGAGGCAGGGACCAGCTCCGTGGGTGAATCTTTCTGTGCAGTGGCTGTCTGTCTGCAGTGACTCTCCTCAGGGTCAAAGCCAAATCCCAGAGCCAGAAAGAGAGGGCTGCGAGCCCGGGTGCCCTTTCTTAGTGACTGGCCCAGGGAACATTGCCTTGCCCTCATCCAGTCTGTTTCCTCAGGCAGGATGCTGGTGAGTGCTCCAGCTTGTCCAAGAGAGCATGGAGAGCACACCAGAGGTTTGACCTCTACATCAGCAAAGGGCCAAACACAGCACATGCGATCTGCTAACTCGTGTGGGCTCCCCTTCCCCCACTTTTTGTGACAAAAGACACATAACATGAAACGTGGTGTCATCATACACATGCACCATTCAGTGGAATTAAGTAGGTTCATCATACTGTTATGTGACTGTCACATGGTTCATCTCCAGGACTTCCTGTTGTGCAAAACTGAAACTCTGTACCCCTTGGACGGCAGCTCTGTACTTCCCTTTCTCATTCCCCAGGATGCACCATTCTGCTTTCTGACGATTCCAGAAGCCTCAGGAAAATGTGACAGCTGTGCCTTTGTCTCTGCCGCATTTCACTGAACTTCAAGTTCTCAGGGCCCACCCCTGTGGCGGCGTGCGGCAGGGCTTCCTTCCTTTTTAAGGCTGAGTCATATTCCCTGGCTGACGTACGGACCTCATCTTTGGCTTAGCCATTCATTCCTCTGTGGATTCTTGGGTGCCTTCCACCTTTTGGCTGCTGTGACTAATGCTGCTCTGCACATGAGTGTGCAGATAGCTAAGTGAGACTCCCCTCTATTCTTGGCGGGTCTATAAGTGGGAGTAGAGTTGTTGGAGCGTGTGGTTACTGTGGATATTTAAAATCTTTGATATTGGTTCTGGAAAACCTTGAAAGCATAGCCTGTCTTTTTCCTGCATTTTTCACTTTTGGGTTGCAAAGCTCCAGGGCTGGTGGAGCAGTGGGCAGGAGTGATGACCCTACCCGACAGAGGGCTCTGCAGGCCAGAGGGGCTGGGGAGCTGCACGCTTAGGATACTGATGGGGTGGGGACCACTAAGAGGAGGGGAGGCACTGTACAGGTCAGGACAGTGTCTAAAAAGTGCAGTGTGCCAGACCTGCTCTTGTCCCCTCTGTCACTCCACAATGCTCTCCTGTAGGGCAGTTTCCTATTGCAAAATCCTATATTCTTTGCACGCATGCCCACTCCATGCTCAGAGTGGTCTTCGGTTCTAGGAATACAGTGGCAAGGTGACAAGCATCACCCTTGTTTTCAGGGTGCACCCCATACTGAGCTCACCTGAGCAGTCCTGTCCAAATTGCTCAGATGCAGGATTGTGGCCCAGAGTGGTTCAGGAACCTGCTGGAAGCCTTGGGGTTGGGAAAGGAAGGGCCAGCTTTGAATTCAGGCCACATGCTGCCACAGCACAGGCTTGAAACTTCTGCTCTGCCTCCCCACCAAAGTGAGACTGACAGACTGGTGTTAAGAGCATGGGCAGGTCTCAAGCAGGTGAGGGGGTGGGGCACGATGGGCACTGTCTTGAGTGCCCTGAGAGGACACTGACCTAAGACCTGAAGGAGAGGTGGAGCCAGCCATCTGCCAAGCAGATGAGGGACTGGTCATTCTAAGGTGGAGGTGCCTGCACTCATGAGCCCCTGTGCTCTAATTCAGAGCATTCCAAGAACAGAGATGTGTCACTCCCATGAGCTATTGGCGGCTCTGCCTTACATGCATCAGGGAATCTGAACTGAATCCAACTAGTGAGCAACATTTTGTCAAGATTGTCACCCAAAGATTTTTATACAAAACTGCTCTTTTCAGATGTGGCTCCCAGACCTGGTGGCCATGTTTATGAAGACCACACAAGATTGTCAACACAGTTTCCATGAATGCTGTGAATCTCCAAACTCCTGGGGGTGGAGTCACTGTAAGATCACCTTCAAAATGTGTCACACTGTGTGATGAGATGGCCCTGATGGGTTTCTGCACCCAGGACCAGGAGCTGATCTGGACAGAGCCTCGGCAGTCTGGGTGGTCACAGGGTGTTCTCACCAGGGGCAGGCAGGTGTGCTGCGACTGCAGGATGCTTTTGGGGGCTCCAGCAAAGTGATGGTCACCTGCCAGTCACTGTTCTCTGATGAGCCACATTGGTTCCCCTGGCTCTCTCTGTTTTCTAACTCAGTTTTCTGGGCCCTGGACCCTCATCCTTGCTTTATAGGTAAGGAAAGCAGGGCTATGAGGTGACCCTGCTGGTCCCAGCTCTATCTGAAACCTCTTCACCTCCAGGGCCTTACTCATCCAGACCTGAAATGGCCAGGCCAGTTCTTAGGACTGGCTCCCATCCTGCTTTGCAATGGCTTTTTTTTTTTTTTTTTTAAGAAATCTGGCCAAGCTCACAGCCTATCAGTGCTTCACTGGAATTATGTGAAACCCAGGAGCATGGACTGGATCATCATGCCTCCCTGGCCAGCGTGTGTATCTCTTCTCCCAGCTGCTTAATTACCACAGTGGTCCAGCACAGCCCGTCTTTAGGAGTTGGGCCAAAGATTTCAGCTGTTTCTCTGTGTATCTGCAAGCACCCCAGCAGACCCTTATTTTTCCTATTACAGTTAAGCATTTGAGTTTTAAATGTAAACACATGCAATGTAGCCCAGAGCTCCACAGAGAAAAGCCACCAGAGGATCTGTTTCAAGTTGCACAACTGCCTGTCTCAGGAGATGGCTTGGCCACCAAAGAAGATGGCATTGTGTGTATGTCTCCCTGCTGACCTCACCTTAGGCTGATCTGTCTAGGCCTCTGCGATGTTTTGGGGCTGAGCAGTGAGTGATACCTGTATGAGGCTCTTCCAGCTGCTCCCAGGGTAGTGTGGACCCCTTCGTGGAGAGGCCCTCAGGACACAGGGTTGGGTCGCTCTTGGCCTAAGGTGCAGTGGTTGCCCAAGCTAGAAGGACAGTTTCATCTGGGCCTGCTGGGAAATTCTGCCATTAAGGTCCAAAAGTCATGTTTTTTAGATTGAATGGTTGGAAGGGTGGGAGCATCTTGGGTTCCAGCTTATGTTTCTTGGCTAGAATTCTAGTGTATAAGACTGTGAGAACTGGTAGATTCTTTTGAGATGGTCCAGCCATATCTGGTCTGCTGAATCTTCAGATGGGGAAGCTTTGAAAGAATGCTGCCTGGTCTCAGGGTTTCCCCACCAGGACGCCAGGTGTCATCTTTGTTGCAGATGATAGACCAGTTTGAAGCTGTAGAGGAACTTGCAAAAAGTGCTATTGAGATAGTTTTAAATTTAGGGCAGGCTGACACTACAAAGCTAACCATGAACCTATGGGGCTGCATTTTTTCAAATGTAGGCCCTGTGCTAGAAACTGCTGAGCACTTTTGCAAGTCTTACGTTTGATCCTTGCACTCACCTCATCCTTGCCCTTTTATTGTGCCCTTGAAGACTACCACGGGGGGTGGGGGGCATAAGGAATTCACCCAGAGTCACACAGTGATGAGATGGATCACAAACACTGCCTCCATTCCCATGTCTGGAGCCAAAGTCCATACAGGAAATTTTGGGGAGAGGGAGTTACGTCCACTACCTATAGTTCCTAGGTCCTGGGCTAGATAGATCTCTGTGCACCAAATGGCCTTTCCTGTTGGCTTTGCTGTTTCTAATTTTTTCCACCTGGATCTTTAGTTTATTTAGCTGGTTTGATTTGATTTGGTTTCCATGGGAATCTGTGTGTGTGTGTGTATGTGTGTATGTGTGTGTGTGCTTACCAGGGCTCTCTGGGAAATAGGTTGCTCTTCCCCACAGGGCCTCCTCCTGGGGTGGTAGGCGTGGCCGCCTGAAGTCTAGCTCCTGGGTCCAGAAGAGCAGGATCCCTCTCAGGGAGCTGACCTCTTTGGGGAGTATCAGGAATCAAACTCAGGACCTTGCACTTGCTAAGCAGGCACTGTGTACTGAGCTCTGTGTCTCTAGCCCAGGGATCTGACTCTTTTCCTGTGGCTTAGAAATCTCAGCTCCAGGGAAAATGAAAACGTGTGGACCCTTCCCTAATTCCTTTCTTTGCACCTAATCACTTCTTATTTTCCTGCCCCCTGACTGACAGATC